TAAAATATATAGTTAAACTGTTTATAATAATAATATATACGTATATAATTAATAAATGTATTAGAGGCGAGCAGTAAAGGTCATATTATCTTTTAAAATACACTGATATAGGCGATACTTAGTTAGCGCAACGCACAAAAACTCGTAGCGCAAACTTCAAAAATTTTTTTCTCAAAAACATCAAAAAGCACTTCTTTAAAAATTAACCCACTTATTAAGGAAGGTTTAAATTTTGAGAAAATAATTTTTTTAGGAAACTCCATGATGTCCTTAGCATATTTTTTTAACAATAAAAAATTATTGTTTAAACAAATTATTGAAAATTTAATTTTTCTCAACTTTTTTTCAATATTATAAAAAATTGACATTTATTTATTTATTTTCAGTTTCTGATTTTTCAAATCTAAATATCTTGCAAAAATTTTTTTTTTTTGCAAAACTGTTTGGCACAGTTATTTAGTACCCCAAATACTACAAAATTACAAACTTTAAGGAAAATTGGTGATAAACTATTTACTTTTCGTATGGAACTGCCCTTGATATAAAAATTTTAATTTGTAGTATCAAATAAATAGTTATTTGTAGCAAAGTCGAATTATTTAAGTCAAATGAATGGAATAATTGGATCTAATAAATATTGCTTTAAATCAATTAGAAAAATTACTTGATTCAGTAATACATGGATTTTAATTCAAATAAATATTTATTTGCATCAATAAAATAATTTTTTTAAAATAACTAAATATTTATGGGACACTCGGCACGTCAACACGGACAGAGCTCTAAACAAAAATTGCTTTGATAGATTTAAACGTTCTAGGGCTAAAAAGATTTCTACATTCATGTACTTTAAGATGGCGATGGGCGTTTTTTGCAAATTTCCATTTCCGATACCAATAGAGCTGTCAAAAGTCAAATGGTCCAAAAATTTCAAAATACTTTACTCGAGGGTTTCTGTGGTCGCTGATTACGAAACAGTCATTAATTTTTAAAAATTTTAAATGGCAGATCCAATATAGCAACTCATTTTTAAAAATTCATTAGATTGGATTGGTCTGAAAATTGTTAGTCTGGAATTTTCGGGGTCGCTGATTGCTATAATCCGATGTTAGGTTTTCAAAATTCAACAAAGAGGATCCAATATGGCAGACGATTATTAAAAATGATGTACTTCGAAAATCTGACTTCAGAATCGTGATCAGCGAGCTAAAGAATCCCTGAGTAAGAATTTTTAGAAAAATTTATCCACTATTAATATTTTTAAAAAAATTTGGCGGACATTTTGGATAAAAAATCATGTATTTTGAAAATCTGACTTTAGAATCGTAATCAGCGACCTCAAAAACTCCCGAGTAAGAATTTTTAGAAAAATTTATCCACTTTTAAAATTCTGAAAAATTTTTGGCGGCCATTTTGGATAAAAAATCATATATTTTAAAAATCTGACTTCAGAATCGTGATCAGCGACCCCAAAAACCCCCGAGTTTTAATTTTTAAGAGAATTTATCCACTTTTGAAATTTTTCAAAATTTTTGGCGGCCATTTTGAATAAAAAATTATGTATTTTGAATATCTGACTTCAGAATCGTGATCAGCGACCCTAGAAACCTCCGAGTAAGAATTTATGCGAGTATACGTTAAGATGTTTTTATTGTTTGGGCCATGACGTGTACACACGTCATCCACAGTTTGGGCCAGTTTTTTTCATGACGTGTATACACGTCATCCACAGTCAAGGGGTTAAAAAAATGAGTAGAAAAAAATTTTAGTTTAAATAAATTTTATGTTTTAAAATGATTTTCATTCGACTGAAAATGGGTGGTCTCTCAATTTTGACCAGTATTCCCTTAAAACGTGTTACTCGGGGGCTTTTGGGGTCGCAGATTATGAATATAAAGTTACTTTGTAGAAATTGAAAATGATGAATCCAATATGGTGGACAAATTTTTAAATTTGATCACATTTAATTAAAAAGTGTTACTCGGGGGTTTTTAGCGTATCTGATTACGAATTTGAAGTCACTTTTAAGAAATTCTAGCTTCATACTGTTCTATAATGTAAACAATTTGTTATTATTACAAACTTTAAGCGAAATGTATCCAAATTGGACATTTTTTCAGTCATATGGGATCCACTATTTTCAATTTTCAAATTGTGATTTCATATTCGTAATCAGATACCTTAAAAAAACCCCGAGTAACACGTTTTAATTATATCTGATCAAATTAAAAAATTTGTCCACCATATTGGATCCGCCATTTTTATTTCTAAAAAGTGATTTTACATTTATAATATGTGGCCCCATAAGCTTCCGAGTAACACATTTTAAGGGAATCGGATCAAATTTGAAAATTTTTTCCGCTATTTTGAATTTTTAAAAAGTGACTTCAGATTCGTAATCAGCGACCCTAAAAACCCCCGAGTAACAAGTTTTAATAGAATCTGTTCGAATTTGAATTTTGTCCGCCATATTGGATCCGCCATTTTGAATTTAAAAAAAACTTTAGATTTATATTCGGGGACCCTAAAAACTGTTAAAGAATGAGTTACAAAATAATTTACCCCGTTTTTTGCTTTTAATTCATAAAAGTATTTTGAGATTTTTTGACCTTTTGACTTTTGACAGCTCTATTGGCATCGGAAATGAAAATTTGCAAAAAACGCCCATCGGCATCTTAAAGTACATGAATGTAGAAATCTTTTAAGCCCTAGAACGTTTAAATCCATCAAAGCTATTTTTGTTTAGAGCTCTGTCCGTGTTGACGTGGAATTTCCCTTATTTATATCAAACACAGTGCAACAGAATTTCACTTTTTTATTATTTCTGGGATCGCATAGGGTGATTTTTATAGGTTTTTTGATGCTGAATGCGAATCCGTAATCAGAATTGTTCCATCACCCAAGGTTTTCGAGAAATTTGACCTTGAAAATTGAAAAAAGGACGTTTTTAGGATACTTTTTGGTTTTTTATCAGGGTACAAAAATTTTTTCTAGGGTTTTCATGATATGCGTACGAAAGCTCACATCCTCCTCAACAATCTCCAATTTAAACATTTAAAAAATATCTATTTTTCGATGAGTTATCTTTGTTTTTGTTAAATTATTGTTAAAGAATTTGAAATGATAAACAAAAAAAATGGTCAATTTATTTTTGATTTTCCTAAAAATATAATAATTTCTTTAATGAATCATTGGTATCTGCTTGAGATTTAATGGGTTAATATTAATAATATTAATATTATGTTAATATTTTTCTCACTGTTATCCCATTTGACGTTACGATGCGAACTTCAAACAAGGATAGCTCATCGAAAAATAGATATTTTTAAAATGTCAAAATTGGAGATTGTTGAGAAGGATATGAGCTTTCGTACGTATATCATGAAAACACTAGAAAAAATTTTGGTACCCTGATAAAAAACAAAAAAATACCTCAAAAACGGCATTCTTGCTGATTTTATGATGCGACGCGAACTTCAAACAAAGATAACTCATCGAAAAATAGATATTTTTAAAAGGTCCAAATTGGAAATTGTTAAGGTAGATATGGGCTTTCGTACGCACATAGTGAAAACCCTAGGAAAAATTTTTATATCCTGATAAAAAACCAAAAAGTACCCCAAAAACGGCCTTTTTTAAATTTTCAAGGTCAAATTTCTCAAAAATCTAGGGTGATGGAACAATTCTGATTACGGATTCGTATTCAGCATCAAAAAACCTATAAAAATCACCCTATGCGATTCCAAAAATAAAAATGCTGTTGCACTGTGAAATATGCAATTATTTTTCATAATTAATTATTTTATTTAGCAATATCTCTTTAATTGCGTCAAATAATTATTTATGTAGTCCTTATACCAAATTTATAATAAATAAATTAATGTTCTTCCATTTTCATACGTAAAAGTATTAGCACACTAAACAAAATTATCTCATTCAAATAATTTTTTTTATCTATATATTTATTTGATTCAAATAACTTGAATTATGCGAATATACGAAACTTTTTTCTTAGAAAATGCAGGTTGGCAAACTTGGACCAAAAGAATTTAAAAAATTTGAAAGATTCTTATAAACCCCTTCGCTGTTTGGAAAAATAATAATCATATGATTGGCCCTAAATGTTCAGCAAAATCTGTTAGATGAATTTTTATGAAACTTAGTATACAAAGATTTTTGGGGTCGCTGAATATAAATATGACGTCAAAAAAAATTTAAAATGGTGGATCCAATATGTCGGACAAAATTTTAAAATTTTAAATAGATATTATAAACAAAAAAAACAAAGAACAGAAAGTGTAATGTAAAACCTTTGCAGCCTCCACGCGGCATATTCTGGGGTCATGATTCGTTTTATCAGCTAATGCAAAAGATATAGAATAGAGTACAAAATTTGATCAAAATCGGGATGAATTAAAAAAATTACGTCCCTCATTTTGAATTCATAATTTTTTATTTTGAAAGACAAATTTAAATTCAGCGACCCAAAATATCCCTAGATACTGAAATTGATAAAAATCCAAATGAATTTTAAAAATTATGTCTACTATTTTGAATTTTTAAAAATGAAGATCAAATTTGAATTTAGCTACCCGAAAAACCCCTAGATACTGAAATTAATAAAAATCCAAATAAATTTCAAAAAGTATGTCCGCCAATTTGGATCCTGCATTTTGAAGTTTCAAAAATGATGGTCAAACTCGAATTCAGCGACCTGAAAAACCCTTAGGTACTGAAATTATAAAGTAGAAAACCGGGAAATTTTTTTTAAACCGGGAATTTCTTGTGTTCTTTCGACTATTTGTTCTTAAAATTTGTTAAATATTCAAAAATTACTAATTACATAATAAACTAAAGACATAGTTTGTCTTCATATTTTTTCGTTCTCATTCTTGTTCATTTAAAAAATTATACAACAATAGTATTTAATTATTATTGATAACAATTTGACCGGGAAATTTTATAAAATTGACCGGGAATTCAGATTTAAAAAAACTCACCATCCTGGTTATGAGAGACTGCGAATTTTAAACAAACGTGTATCGTCAGACCTAAAACTCAATTGGGCTGGTCAGGTGGGCAATATGTTCGATCAATTGCGACTAATCAATTAATTTCAAACTAGACTGATCTGGAAAAAAAATTGTTTACATTAAATCCAAAGAATATTGTAACAACTGTTTTAAAAAACTACAGGAAAATGAATATATTTTACATATGAAAAAAGAGTGCAATTCTTTAAATTCAGAAAGAAGAAAATACATAACTAAAGCTGATGACTTAAACGAAATAAATGAAAAATGGCTTGATCTCTTAAACAAACCGACAACTGTTTCAATCAATAAAATCTTACACTTTTTAATTCAAATTTAAAAAAAACAGAAAAAATGTAATAAAGCAACGAATAAAAGTATAATGTTTAAATGCGAACTCTTTTGTAAGAATTGGACTACCCAGGTAGAAATTTTAACTCTGTTATGACCAGTCACTATGAAGTTTTACTAGATTCTGTCCAGTTATTGACCAGAAAATCTGTCAAGTGATTGATAAGAAATGTAACGCGCTGCTTTAGCAGTCACTGGTTAGATTATCTGGCCAGTGACTGGCAAGTATCTGACCAGTAACTGGACAGTTTTCTGCTCAAAATCTAGAATAAAATATAATTTTTCCTGGCTCTTTTTATTTTGTTTATATTTACATATATATTTATATCATTGTGTTTATTCAAATATTTAGGACTAATGAACAATTACTCTACCATTAACACTTAAATCTAAGAATGAAAAATCCGCACGTATGGGGGATCGAACCCTAGACCCTGCAGACACAACGAATGTGCGTTACCACGCAGCCACGGTGACTAGATAGTAACTTATCATAACTACAAGTTTAAGAACTATAGAACTGGTAACCGATTGTGACCAGAATTTCTGGCCAGTGACTTGTCAGAAGTAATGATCAGAAATCGTGACCAGATAAACTGTTTAGTCACTTGTCAGAGACTTAACGACTTATCTTGTCAAAATTTAGAAAAATGTAAACTTTGGTAATGTGACAGTGAAACAGTCATAACTTTTATATAAAGTTACTTTAGACTTTTCTGTTTTTGACCGTATGGAACATAAAAAATATTTTTAATATCTAATTATAAATGATTGACTAAGAGTGTATTTTTATGGAACTGGTGCTTTGTTTTTTTCCATAGTAACTGGTCAGTTGCTGGGTCAGCAGTCACTGATTTGAAGAATTACTTAAGATTCTACCTAGAAAATCAGGTCCACCACTGATCAGAAAAACTTGCCGAATCCTATTAAAAGAATTATTCTAGATTTTTCCAAATTCCTAGCTAGAAAATCTTGACACTAAGAAAAAAACACTAAGGAATTGTGGGCCACACAATTTTTTAGCTCAATATCTTACACAAAAATTTTTTTTTTAAATTTTAAAATTCTTCGTGTCAGTAGGAGGTTTAAACTATCATGTATCATAGTTAGTTTACCAAAATTATCACTTATCTAAAAGAAATTTCAGTTTTACCAAAGAGTGCACTTTTATGATTTTTAAAAATGTTAAGTAATTGTGGGCCACTGCCTAAATTGAGTTAAAAAAAATAACGATGAAATATATTTATTAAATGGTTAGAAATATTAAAAATGTTATAAATGTTTAATTATTAGTATAAAATTAGAAAACGAAAAGCAAGAAAATGAAATTAATTGGAATCACAATTTAGACAAGTAAAATAGGCTCAATTAATTACACATTTTAATTGAACAGCTCTATCGCTTGAATCGCAATGAATATAATTGTTTTTGTTAAATTACTATAACTATGAGTGATTTTAATAATATTTCCAATTAAATCGCTAAAAACAAGCAACAAATACTTCCCCCCAAAAAGGGTCCCACAATTCCCCAAATGCTTCATTTTAGAAAAAATTTATTCATTTTAATTTAATGCAAAATTTTGTTTTTGGATTCAAAGTAGGTACCAATGACACACAATAATTTAAAAAAATATTCTCTATAATTAATTCTTGAAAATCCTTGTAAAAACAATAAAAACATGAAGGCCCAAAATAAATATTTGAATGCAATTTTTCAGGTGATTTTTGTTAATGGTTTGTAGGTAATTGTAAAGCGTTGTAAAGTTATGAAATGCTAATGAAAAATTTACTTTAGACGAACAAAAGAAAATAAAAAAAAAATTGGATGATCAAACTTGTAAATATTATTATATAATAGAGGTGGCCCACAATTCCCCAATCGCCCCTACACTCTTAGTCAATCATTTATAATTAAATATTAAAAATAATTTTTATGTTCCATACGGTCAAAAACAGAAAAGTCTAAAGTAACAGTCTTTTTAAAACATTCATAATCTTAGATAACATGCACACTTTTATACATGCTTTTAAAATTATGATTCTTTACTAATTAATATAAAATTTTTCGTATTTTTTATTTAAAGGCCATGATCGTTTCACTGTCACATTACCAAAGTTTACATTTTTCTAAATTTTGACAAGATAACCCGTCTAGTCTCTGACAAGTGACTAAACTGTTTATTGTTGACAAGTCACTGGTCAGAAATTCTGGTCACAATTGAAATAGAACTGCAGTTCTTAAACTTGTACTTATGATAAGTTACCATCAAGTCACCTTCTACCTGGGTTCTTTTAATAGGATTCGGCAAGTTTTTCTGATCAGTGATGGACCAGTTTTTCTAGGTAGAATCTTAAATAATTCTTCAGATTAGTGACTGGCCAGTGTCTGGAAAGAAATTCTTGTCACGATTATGATCAGATTTTCTGTTCAGTGACTTGACAAAAGTACTGTTCACAGAGGGGAATTGTTTTTATCCAGTGAAACTGTCCAGTCACTTATTCAGGACTGGCCAGATTGTCTTGGCAAGTAAAACTCGCTCTCGACTCTACAGCTACTGGAAGGAAACAAGTAATACTTGACAAATTTCTACCTGGGTAATTCAGACAAATAATAAAGAATATATTTTCTTGACAATTAGTTACATGAAAAGATTCTAAAGCGAAAAATTACGCGTTTTTATAGAAAAAATCAAATTTCTCAAAAAGGGACCGACGGATGATTTGGATTTTTCCTGGAAATATCTTCTTTGTGGGTATAGAAAACATCCCAAAAAAGAAATCTTGGTTGTTTAGACCTCTCATCTCATAATAATCAGTTTAAACTCACCGTGAGAAGAAGAATCATTAAATGAAAAAAAATCAAGTCACTCAAAAAAACAATATAATTAGAATAATTTAAGTGAAAACTACTGAGGGCCAAATTGTTTAATTCGGTATTTTACTTAAATGTTTATTGTAGCGTTGTAAAATTATTTTATACTTTAACTAAATATATACTAACATTAATATAAAGAATTTTATTAATTATTTCTATAAATTTTTAAGAATCCTTAAAAACATCCTTTTCCCCTGTTTGAAATGAATCATATTAAAAACATTTTACTTGAATTACTATTCATTAGGAACTATGTTAAAAACACTCAGAATATTTGTCAGGGCCTTCCCTGATAAATATTCTGAGTGTTTTTAACACTCAGTTGTAGGGAAGAATCAGGGAAATGTCAAGGAAATTTTTTGACTATTTTTAGTCGCCACCATGTCATGGGTTTTCAGGGTCGCTGATCACAAATGTGATGTTAATTTTCAAAAATTGATAATGGCGTATCCAATTTCAAAGATTCAAAATGGCGTATCCAGAATGGATAAAAAAGTTTACATACAGTCGTATTAATTATATTAGGAAATATCTGATTTGCAAATTAATTCAATTTCTCAATTTGAATATTTTTTGCCTGTTCGAGTATTGTTAATATTATGTCGTGTGATGGAAATCCGATATTAACTACAAGTTTAAATCTTTGAAAACTAATATCAGATTTATTATCAGCGGCCCTGAAAAAACTCTATAGTAAATTTCTATTATTTATTTATTTATTTAGAAAAGAATAAGTTCCTAGGGCTAACAAGCCCTCAAAGGAACAGTACATACACGGAGAGAAATTTATAGTAGTGGGTAACATAATTGTGGTTAGGGTGACCATCTTTAATGCTACGTATACAGACAGCTATCTAGATAGTCACCGTTACCATCAATATTATCAGGAGTAACATCTTGGTAGTACGGGGTAGCATAACTATATTTTTTTTAGCATCTGTGATGGTTGGCAGTAGCATAATGATAGTATCGTGTAACATCATCTTTTTAACATCAAAATCTGACTATCCATTTCTCTCAGTGTATAGTAATAATCGTAGTTTTAAAAAATATGTAATATAATTCGTGCTTATTATTAACGTAGTTTACAATCATTGTAAGTTATTGAAAGCTAACATCAGATTTCTGATCAGAGACCCTGAAATCCCCTGAGTATCAAGTTTATAGCAAATCCTATTAAGTTTCAATTTTTTCCGTGAGCCATCTTGGTTTTTAAAAACTGATATCAAATTCTTGATCATCAACCCAAAAAACCTACGAGTACCAAGTTTTCCTCAAATCTAGCCGAGATTTAATTTTTTCGTCCGCCATTTAGGACTCGCCATCTTAGATTTTTGAAAACTGACGTCAGATTTGTGATCACCGACCTTTAAAACCCTAGAATAACAATATAAACAATGATTTTATCACTCGGTCGTCAGAATATTAAAACAATTAAGCAAACGAGCATTCCTAGTAAAGAATAACAAGTTTCATTCAAGTGCTTTCGTTGTTGAAGATTAAATAGTGTGAACTTATACTCTTCGTTTCGCAACGTTACTCTAACTTTGATCAAGTATAACTATCACTTGTCCCAACGTAAAAGGGTTTTTATTGTGTGTTTTGAAATGCTCTTGATGCCTATACTATTCAGAAATGCAATGGAAAAATGTGCGACGTCTGGTCCAAAAAATTGGCCTTATGGACCCTCCTCCTACTATTAATTTATTTACCGCGATTCGATTATGTACAAGAAAATTACTGAGTTCACACTCTAACTAGCACTCATCTACACACATTCAAAATTAAACAAAATTATCACGTATTGACAAAGAAAATTTCTAATTCAAAAATTATAAATCTCAAATGCGTCTATTATTAAATAGAATAT